ACAGGATTCTGCTGATGCACCATGTGTTTCAGCATCAGGAGCTCAGATTCTTTACATCCTTCAGAGGAAGTCTCACCTGAGGCAATTTTAGATGAGATAGATTGGAGTGCATGGCTCTTGTCGTTCTTCTCATTCTTTCCAAAATCTGTTCATCAGTTTGTCTTTCTTTTGCTTGCTCTTCGTTGCTTGATTCTTTTAAAATATTTCATAATGCATTAAGTAGCACATCTTTGTCAAACTTATCTGATGAATTTCATCATTTTGAACACAACTGTCAGGATGTCAAGCTACATATTTTACTAAGAAAGCATGAGCTGTTTGGTTTTCTACTGGATGCAGATGTATTTTGGTTAGATATTTGAGAAGTGTAAAAGAGAAGGTGACTGACAGAATCCTATCACTTTACATATTCACTATTCATCTTATCTAGACACCACTAAAACCAAGAATTTTACAATTACTTAAGTCCTGTTTCAGTCAAACAAAAATGTGTATGGCCAAGTTATATAGTATATTAGAATCAAAACTTCTTTTCTTTTCTTTTCTTTTCTTTTCTTTTCTTTTCTTTTCTTTTCTTTTCTTTTCTTTTCTTTTCTTTTCTTTTTTCCTCTCCTCTCCTCTCCTCTCCTCTCCTCTCCTCTCCTCTCCTCTCCTCTCCTCTCCTCTCCTCTCCTCTCCTCTCCTCCCTTCTTTTTTTTCATATGGATGTAGACAAGAAGGCTTGGAGAATGACAACAACACTCGTAATTAATTCAAGTTCATGATTGGGAAATATTTCAAAAGAATGCACAAAAAGAAAGCTTCAGAGCAAATTAGTGATTCTTTACAATGGAAATTATGAGATTAATGGAAGAAAAAAAACCTAAAATCAATATACCTGTTCTTAATGTGTGTATGTAGAATACATCTCACTCCAGAGTCTAGAAATGCTAGGAGTACTCCGAAAGTACTCTTAGTTTCTCTATGGGAATACACTTGCTTGATAGGGGAGCTTCTTTCGACTTATGGAAGAAGCTGCAGTCATTACAATTTGCTAAATTTCCTGAGATATTCACAGATTCCTAAGACAGTAAAGTTTTCCAGATTCTAGATGAAATATAAAATCCAAACACGTATTGAGTGTATGGATATTTATATAAATATACTTGCATATAACACAATCATATATATATTCTAAATAAAATAAATGAATATAATTTTTATATATTAGAAAATCAGATTAACTTCTCACATTGAATGCATGAGTTAACTAAGCCAAAAAGTGAGGACTTTTTCTTTGTAATTTATTGAACTGAGGAATCTACACTAAACTCTTTCAAAATAAATGAAATCCTGCTAATTATCATGCGTTTTAAAAACGTTGTAGCTGATAAACAAACTGGAAACTCCTCAAAGAGTGAGAAACTAGAATATACTTCTATGTATGCTACCAGATGAGATTTCTTATGTAAGGACTGAATACAGGAAGTTGCTATTTTCCACTTTTCTTCCTCTTAAATTGGCTTCTGCTGTCATATGTGCAAGCAATCTAAGCAATTTTTTGCTATGGATAATACTTACAATTAGGACGTTAAGAACCTGTATAAAATTTAGCAAAGCTACAGACCAAACAAAATGAACAAAGCAATTAATCATGCAACTTATAAAACAAGATTTTTCATACTTCCACTGTGCAATCAAGTAAGATTTCACCAAATCTTCCCCTTAAAAATACTTCAAGCCCTAAGAATATTCCAGTCAACTCCTAATATAATAATATAATGAGAAATATACAACCACAAATATTTCATCTTCATCTATACAAAGCTTACACATCTTGTTTTGTAAATCTGCATACTGGTCATATTTTCAGTGTTCGTATTTCATGTTCAGAAGGTAAAAGGCTTTTGTTCTTAACCCCTCTGTAATCTTGTAAATATAGAAAATAATAGTATTTGGAATTTATTTTTCCTTTTATTATTGAGTAAGTAAAAGGGATTCAACCCCTTACAATTAAAACTGTGGTCTAATTTTGGGGTGGAACCTCCATTCAGGCTTAAATTGCCATTTTAAGTGTTACTATGAGCCTAACAATTGATTGCAAATGAAACAAGAATAAACCACTTTTGGCAGATTCTGCTGTTGTTTTTCCTGCTGGCTTTTGTTCCAGCTTTTATTTTCCATGGGAAAATTTTCATATTGAGAATACCGAGAGGGCCAAATCTTTTAAGACATCCCCTAAGTGCACACACAATTAGATATCCTATGCTCATGTAATTACTCCAGTAGTTATTTAGACAACTCACAATTGCCTGATTTGAGTACACAGTTGGAGGATGTGCCAAAGGCAGGTGCACACTTTTTTTTTTTTTTTTTAATTTAACAGTAGCACAAATCTACAGGTTTAATTCTTTACATTACCCCTTCACCTCCTGAGAGAATGCTACTTATGCACGTGTTCTTATATGAAATGCACTGCATTTCAAAGGCAGAAAATATGTATTTCCACATGTTTATAGCAGACTGGTCACTGTGATATATGCAGACTGACTGTAGATGGCTGTATGATTTCTAAATCAAATGCTGTGCCCTGTATTGAACAAAAATACAATTTCATTACCAAGCTGTTAAGTATTCAAAGCATATTTTACTAGACAAGAATTAGATGTTTGACTGCTTTTGTTTTTCTTAATCTGCTCCAACATAAAATAAATGTGAGGAGTGACAAACAGAAAATCATGATATCAAACACAAACTGAAACAACCTGATTGAAATTAATATACACAATGACATTAATGACATACCAGAAGGTCCTCATTTCTTCAGGTTTATTGTTTTTCATGATTTTTTTTTTGGGGGGGGGGGGGGGGGGAAGCAGGGTTTTTTTTGTTTTGGTTTGTTTTTTTTGCCTGTACTTTTAAATCTGCAAACTTTTAACTTTAAATTCCTCTTTCTACTTTAAACATTCTGTTGTAGCAAGAAATTTCAGTGCACTGATGTAAAACACTACCATCAGCAGGATGGAACCTACTTTGGTCTCTCTTTTTTCTTAACATCTGGGAATCAAAAACATCTGTAGTCTGGCATGGAGATTTCCTTTCAAAGTATCTTTGGCAAAGCCACACGGATGTGTTGATTATATTGCCCTAAAACAGCCCACAAAGCATTAAAGTTTTTCCTCTGGAAATCAGGAGTATTGTAAGTAATGTCATCAGAGATGAGACACAACACTTCCATTCTTTACATGATTACTACTACGTTACTAAGTTTTATTTCAGTTTCATATTTTGAGGTTCATCTCAGATAGACTGATCCTTCCTATGCTGTCCATGCTACTAAACTGCAAATTTTAGGCTCATTTTTCCTAGATTGAGACAGAAGTAATAAAACTGCTTTAGCTAGTGTTGGATTATGGACTGTGTCTCTACTTTGTCCTTTTTGTCCTATACTAGCATCTCCAAAAGCTTAGGTATCCATTGCACTATCAGGTCTAGTCAGAAAATACAAAATTGTGGCAAACAGCAATTTAGGGCATATTGTATTTTTGGACAGTTGTATAAATGTGCAAGGTCCTGCATTTTGGTCACAACAAGCCCATGCATCAGTGCAGGATTGGGGCAGTGGCTGGAAAGCTGTACAGAGGAAAAGACTTCATGAGTGTTGGTTCACACTTGGCTCATGAACCAGCAGTGTGCCCAGGTGGCCAAGAGGGCCAACAGCATCCCAGCTGGTATCTAAAATAGTGCAGTCAGCAGGAACAGGGAAGCAATCATTCCTCTGTGTTCTGGTGAGTCTGCAGCTTGAGTACTGCATTCACTTTTGGGCTCCTTATTATAAGAAAAGACACTGAGGCCCTGGAGCTCGTCCAGAGAAGGGCAACCATGCTGGTGAGGGTTCTGGAGCACAAATCTTATGGAGAGCAACTGAGGAAACTTGTTCAGTCTAGAGAAAAGGAGGCTCAGGGGAGCCTCCTGAAAGGAAGTTGTAGGGAAGTGGGTATTGACCTCTTCTCCCAGGTAACGGTGATAGGATGAGAGATAATGGCTTCAAGTTGTGCAGGATGTTCAGGGCAGATAGGTGGAAAAATTTCTACTCAGAAATAGCGGTGAGGCATTGGAACAGGCTGCCCAGAAGGTGGTGGAGTCACTGTACCTGGAGGCATTCAAGAACTGTGTAGATGTGTCACTCTGGGACGTGGTTAGTGGGCATGGCAGATATGGGTCAACAGTCAGACTGGATGATCTTAGTGGTCTTTTCCAACACTAATAATTCTATGATAAATATGTACATTACAGCTCTTCTGGCAAGTAAAACAAACCCTCCATTGCTAAATGGTCCTCTAAAACAGCTCACATGCCTTTAGAACTTATAATGAATGCCCAAGCGGTGTTCAAGCAGCATCCTTGGCAGCAGCAGGCCTCTGTCACCAGACAGGAGGTGCCTGGTCATCCTGGGTGCCAGCAAACACAGCTCAGCACATCATTTATAATGTTCCAGTACTGTGCTGGCTTGTGACATTCATGTCCACCTTCTGTGACAAAGTTGCATGAGTGGTGTGAACCCAGCCAGCTGCTTCAAGGGAGAGCTGCACTGAATTCATTTCAAACTACCTCATTTCAAGCCACTCCGGGTATGATTTATGTACATAACAGACCCTGAGCATCCTTAGATGGCAAACGGCACCAGAAAAGAAGAAAAAAAAAAATAGGAAAAAAAAAAAAAAAAGGATAACCTCCTAATCTCAACAGACCCCAGTGCCCCATTCTGCTGCCGCTGCCTCAGAGGGCTCGCGAGGACCGGGTGGCAACGGAGCTGTACCATTGTCCGAGCCGAAGCCCAAGCCGACCCGACCCCGTCCTCCTCCGCACAGCCAGGCCGCCACCTCCCGGGTACCCCTCAGCCCCAGTGCCGTGCAGGGTGCGGGGAGCAGGAAGCGGGACCCAGGAACAGACGGCGACGACTCAACCCGAGGACCGCCGCGGCCTCACCGCCGCCTTGCGCGCCTGCGCGCAGGGAGAGAAGGAGGGGTGGGTGGGAGGCGGTGCTATCGCGCGTCTCCGCGTGCGGGCAGGGAGCCCTTCCCCTTCCCTTCTCTTCCTTTCCCTTCCCCGGGCCTCCCCCAACGCCTCCCCCTGCCCCGCGTCCCTCGCAGGGCGCCGGGCCGGCGCGGGGGTCTGCGAGCAGCGCAGGGAGGGAGGGAGGGAGGCGGGGAGGGAGCGGGGAGAGAGAGAGAAAGAGAAAGAGAGAGGCTGAGCCAGATCTTCATGCCACTGCAGGCAGCAGCAGCAGCAGGTAAAACCAGCCCCGGAGCATCTGCTCCCTTTACCCGCTTGCCCCCCTCCCCGCCGGCCGCCCCGCAGTCAAAGTGCGCCGGGTCTCTCCCGGTGGCGCCGCCCCGTCCCGCCGCTCCCGGCCGTCGGCGCGCAGCGCTGGGGCTGGTGAGGCCTGCGCGCAGCGGGTGCCGCGGGCCGCTGCCCGGCCTCCTCCCGCTGCTTCCCGCGGGGCCGCCTCCTCCGGGCCCGGCGGAGGGCAGGTGCTCCCGGTAGGGACCGCTGAAGCCAGAGCCTCGGTTCTGGGAGGTGGAAGCAGGGAGGGAGGAGGAGGCAGATGGTCATAAGGTTGTCCCCTTCTGGATTTTTTTTTTCCCCCCATTGTTGTCGGTGGTAATTCTGGTGACTGAAGAGGGAAGAGTTAAGGTCGAAGTGATTTTTCTTTTCCCAGGCCTTGACAAAGAGTTTTTGGAAAAGGCCGGGTTTCTCTCCACTTTCTTGACCCCAGTGACTGTCTTTCCTTTCCTTCCCACCCATCTGACCCCAGTCTGTGCTGACTGCCCAATTTATTGCCTATGAAGTGACAGTTTTAGACTTACTAATTGCCACATTTGGTTATCTTTATGTTACAGTAATTCAAGCGGTGTAGTCAGTATGGATTTCAGTGCAAGGGCTGCAATTGGCACATTTTAGTTGTTGGAGGGTTTCATCCTCTTAGGTTGCTGTACCATACCCATCAGTTGTGTAGTGTAGGTACATATCCTATGGTGTTGTTCATCCTGGGGCTTCATGGTCTGCTTTTAAGGAATAGTTGTCCCATCACACTGACAGAACATTGCTTTAAGTGGTGCATATGACTTGAAATACTTAACAAATAAGAAAAATGTTAGTTGATATGTGAAAGACTCATATTCCAAAGCATACTAGATTGGGTATTAGAAGTCAAGAATGGTCTTCTGGTTTTGCCATGCAGACATACAACATCCTTTTTCTGCTTTATTGCCAGCAATCCTCCCTATCTGCCCTTACAGGATACTCTGCAACTTGGTTAAAAAGCACAACTATTCTCATACCAATGTAACTTCATTAAAGTTTATCAGTTCTGTTATTTGCCACACACTCATTCAATGATAGCATCTATATGAAAATGAAACTTTCCACAGTGTATCCCAAATAAATATGGGCTGTTTATTGGAATTGAAAATATTTTTTGAAAAGTCAAAGGTAATAAAACACACAGATAAATTAACCCCAGATTCCACCTATCTCAGAATCATTGCTCACTACTAACTTTGTAGCTCAATCCAACAGGCAGTCCTAAAACTGGGAAGTAATAACAGTGTATCACTTGTGGGCAACAATGTTTCTTCTTTTGGAGACCAGTCCAATGTTACCATGAATAACAAATAGCCAGACTTGTCTATTGACATGTGTAGCCTGTTCATATCACATGCATACATATAATGGCGGTGATTACTGGACTAGGTGCAACTTGTGCCATTTAGATTTTGTAACGCATTCTGACACATCTGATAAAAACAGAACTAGACACGGCCCGGCCCAAAGAAATTGCTGAGTTTTTAAACTTACATGAAGTTCATAACATTGTTGATCTGTCAACCAGAACTTACCTTCGTGTGATTTGCACACCTTCATTATGAACTTCAGCTCATAACAATGTATGAGATCACAATTCCTCTTTTTATGTATAAGCGTATATTGGGAAGAAGGTGTGTGGTTGATCTTCCCCCAATTTCCCTCCGATTTTATGATGGCTTAATTTGTAGAAATTGTTGATATAGTCAACTCCCCTGCAGGCTGGACATTTCAAAAGATACTGGTGGCATCCTTTTGTTAGTGAGGTGAAGAGAAAGGAGGATGTTCTCTAGCTTGGTGAATAGCAATTACAATGAAGTAAGGGCCTGTACTGGTGGTAGCATTCAAGAATTAGTAACACTGGTGGGATTCTTGTTTGTTTTGCTTCGTTTCACCTGAGGGAAATCACAAGCCCAATTTTATACAAGTAATTTTCAGATCGTGCTGCAGTGTTAGCAAAGCTCACTTGTCAAACAAAAAATGGTTCATACTTTTCCTTAAAATACCATGGCACCTGCAAGAGTGACACTTAGCGTTGTGAAAACATTCCTCTCACATTTGTCCTTTGTGTTACAGAGTTGGTTTTACTCCATTGTTCTTTTATCTTTTGTTTACATTACAGTAGTGGAATTCTTTTGGAATTTGCTACCTCATATTAGCTTGCAAGGGAAGTGTGATTTGGTGGAAATGTGTTCTGTGTGCTCTGCCTGCCTATGATTTACACTACTGTATTTGCTGTCTCTGGGTTATTCTTGTTAATATAACTCCATTTTTTTACTGTGGAAGGACTATGCAAAGAGCTGCTTTGCACTTTGCCCTGTAAGGAATTCTGCTGCTGAAGTCTTTTTAGAAAGTTTACTCTGTGCTCCATCCTTAGGAGCTTTATCTTAAACTGTTAGGTATGCTGCTGTAATTGGCAACAGCTGTTGCTGAGAATTGTGGAGGATAGACAGTTTCTGAGATAATCAGTAACTAGTCCATTTGAGGCTTTGTTGATTAGCACGTGTAAGAGAATTTTGGATCAGGAGTCAGTGATGACTGCAGAGTGCAAATGTGGTATGGTATGTAAATAGTTTGCCTTAGCCTCTACACTACTCTGGAGTAAATACGATACAGTTTTGGGTGTTCTAAGCCCAGTAAGCTGCCCAAGGCAGCCCACTCTGTGGCCCATAAAAGTACAGGTATTTGGCTGTTGCGCTGTAGGAGAAAGAGGGCTGTGAAACATGATGTGAAGGAGTTGTTTGCCTGTGTTTGACTGCTGTATTAATGAGCCCTCAACCCTTTTTTTTTTAACGTCTGAAAGAGTAGGCATAATCGTTGCCATTTCTAGTTTTTGAAAGTATTGACCTGTATTTTGTTTGATAATGTTTGTAGTTAATCACGTTAACTAAACTCAGGTTATTTTTTTTCTTTTCTGATATTTCAGCTTCCGGGATCGAATACTCTCTAAAAAGAACTCAATGCAGAGTTGAAGTTTCTATCATATTGGGTAGCATTATAATCTGGTAAATCATATTATTTTTATTTATGTTAAATACAAAAAGGAGTGATTTGAATTTTATCAGTATCTGTGTGTGGTGGTCGTTGAGGAGGCATAGTTAACTCTATTTATACTCTGAGAGTTGGCATTAGACACGAGAGAGCCAAGCTGAACTCTTCTCCAGCCTGCATCCAGACCTTGGAGATGAACGTGCAGCAGTTGGCAGTCCATGAGGATAAAGGTCAAGGAATTACTAAATAAAACAGAAATAGCTGTTTTGCCTGTGTTAATGGCTAGATGTCAATTTCTAAAAGGACTGGAGTCATATCATGATCTGAAGTCTAGTTGGAAATAATCTGGAAATAATAGGAAGAATCACATCACTGATGTTGAACTGAATGTGGTGGAAGAGAGTCATCATTCCAGTATCTTGTGCTGTATTTTTTGATAAAACTTTATATTTACCTATGTACTATTTAAGTTGAGGTGCTTTTAGTTCTGTTAATGGGTTAGCAAATCTGTATTTTAGGTTTATTGTAGAACATTGGTACCACGTTGCTAATTAATTTAGTGCAAGTATGCAAAATTAATTGTGGTTTACTAAGCTGACTTTCTTGCACTACTATATCATATGTTGCTGTGTTAGAATGGAGATCAACTCTGTCTTGATATGTTCACATGTGCTTCACCTTGAATGTATTACAGCATCAGTTTTTGTCTGAGTGGATACTTTTTTTTTAGCTGAACTTCTAGTTGGCTAAGCTTTTTTCAAAAGTATGTCAAGATACTGAGAATCTACCATTTACTTCTCTGGATGACTTGTTTCAGTGATTCATCTTTTCCACTATTTAAAAATAAGGCATGCAATTATTGTTTGAATACATTTGAATGCATCTGTCTTTCACTGGTTCTTGTTGTCATGTCTGAATTCTCTTTCACATCAGACTGCCTTAAAAACTTGATTTGTCCCTTTGACACAGTTGTCCCTCCTCTGTATGGTGTCAGTCCCTAGCGTTTAAAGATAGAGGTAGCTTTTAAAATACACAGGTCGAAATTTATGATCAACAGATCACAGATTTACTGAGCTGACAGCCCTAGAACTCTTGGAGAAGTTTAACAAGTATGCTCATGTAAAGTGTTTGTCTCACGATGTTTTTTTAACATCTGATCTGGAACATCTGTTTAACAAATGAGTTGGAAGGAAAATCAATATAATGTGATACAATTATACCATTTTGAATATTTCCAACTATAGAGTGAAAGTGTTTATTGGCTATTTTTGATCTTTGTATATGATTTTTAACACTTCTGCCACCTTTGCCTAGCCACAGGGCTGTGTTGGTGTTGAGATGGTGTGTGGTGCTGGTGCTGCTGGCTGCATCGTATGTGATGTTTGATGTTTCTCAGCTTCTACACTTCATAACTGCTCATGTTAGGAACAGTTTTCTGTACTTTTCTGTATTGTTGATCCTGTTTTACTTTTTATGCTTTCTTTGTTTCTTTTTTTTCCCCCAAAAAACATCAGTATTCAAACATCTGGGGTGAATTTTAACCCAATTTGTCCTCTTTGTTAGCTGTAAAATTGACTGACTGCAGGTAAAAGACACGTTAAGGATGGCTTCCATTTGCATGTTTTCTATTTCAGATTTTTCTTCCCAATCAGTTGTCTTCCTAACTTTTTTCAGCTTCAGAAATATAGGAACCTCAGGAATGTCAGTGTGTGCTGCATGATAAGTTTATGTATGTTTCAGTGATCTCCAGCTGTGTAATCAGATCATGATCAAGTGGTTCTTAGGCTATCCACAGTTTCTTGTCCAGTGATTCGTTTTAGCTGTTATAATGGGATGTATGGTAATTTCTCTGTGCTCGTTACAGTGAGTAGTGTTAGAAAACTGTTGCTAAGTTTTTTAAAAACTGCTATTTTTACTCTTGACTGCTTAAGATCC